TTTAAAAAACAGAAGAAGGATATAATAAGCAATGTATAGAAAGACAAATACAAATTATAAGCATAAAATCATGTACAACATCCCTCATAACTAGAGAAATACAGATTACAACAAGAAGATGACATACTGCACCTATCCTATGGGCAAAAATTACAAAATCAACAATCTTGTCACTGGGAGGAAAAGATACTACCATTAACCACTGCATAAACTGGCATACTTCAAAAATAAACTTAGCAACAACTGTCAGCATTTTAAGTGTACATACCCTTTGACTCAGCGAATCCTCTTACGGTATTTTATTTAATGGGCATATTCACATCATTAAAACCTGGAATATCCATCAATAGGGAACCAATTAAATAAATTATGGTATAATAATAAAATGAAATATTATGTAGCTATGAAAATGAGTAAGGTAAATCCAAATTACTAAAATAAAAAAATATACCTAAGATATACTTGCAAGTAAAAAAGCAATTTTCAAGACAGTATGTATAGAATTTCATCTATATTTTTAAAGGATATAGTTAAGTAGATAGTTATAGCTACAGCTCTATCTAGAGATACTGCTATGTATATTTTATAAATACATGGAAAAATTCTAGACAGACTCATAATAGTTAATAAAAGAAAAAGCATAAAGGGAATTTTCACTTCCATTTGTAGCTGTCATAAAATATCATTTGATATTTTACAAAAAAATAAGTAAATGTACACTCATAAGGAGTATATATTCTTATCACATAAGAGCAAATTTAAATGTCAAAAAAAACCAAAATATTTTAAAAAGCATTTTTAAAGTAAATTTTATCTCTTCTTCAAACATAAGTTCATTCATCCATTCATTCAACAAATATTCACTGAGTGATTTTTATGTGTCAGGCACTGTTCTACTCAGATGCTGAGGTGGGAAAAAAAAGAAGAAATAATGATAAAATATTTAGCACGCCAGATGGTGGTAAATGTTACAGCGAAAAATTACTTATGGAAGAGAGGTGGCGAATACTGGTGACCAAGAGGTGCCATCTTACATAGAAAAAGTATACCCTGAGAAGACATTTGCTCAAGCACTTTAAAAAGGGAAGGTAGCAAGTTATGTGGATATCCAGGGAGAACTTTCCAAGCAGAGGAAACAGAAAGTCCAGTGGCCCTGAGGAGGAAGCCCGTATCTGGGGGAAGAGCAGAGGTAACCGCGGCTGAAACACTATGTCGTAGGGGAGGAGGGGTAAGAGATGCGGGCAGAGCGTTTAAGGGTAGATATCGTAAATCCATGTAGGAAATTTGAAAGAATTTGACTTTTACTTTGAAAAAGAGGAGAAATGGAGGGTTTTGGAAAAGTGACATGATCTGAATTCCTAAAACTCAACAACATCGAAACACTAAGTAACCCAATTTAAAAACAGGGAAAGGACTTGAAGAGACCCTTCTTCAAAGAAGATACACAAATGGACAGTAGGTACCTGAGAAGATGCTGAACATCACCAATCATTAGGGAAATGAAAATCGTATTGTACTCATTAGTTTGATAAAAATGTTCAAAGATACAATATATATGGTCACACAGAATGTTGTCTAAGGGTTTAATTCTAAGTACCTAACAGCGAGATCATGCATAACCTCCATTGCCCCTTCGTGCCATGGACTCCCCGTGCTCTCTTCACTATCTGATATGGAGTCATTAGCGTCTTTAATCCGATTGGACAACGAGGAATCAAGGGGTGGAGATGGGAGTGGCACCACTCTATATTACTCACAGTGACTCACTAGCAACACTGTTGCTTTCTGTCTCCAGGACGTGTGCTCTCGTGGCCTAGAGGTCTTAGTCGCAAAGGGAGGAATGCTTTCACCAGAAGAAACAACAATGATTCACGGAGCTGGAAGTTAAGACTGCTGCTCAGCCACTACAGGCTCCTTATGCTTCTAAACTACCAGGCAAAGAAGGGAATTACAGTGCTGACTTCCAGAGGGAAAATGGACAGCTTCTTGACAACGGAAGTAAGGAAGAGTACATCCAGAATGTAGGGGATCCCTTAGGGTGTCTCCTGGTATCACCATACCCTGTCATTAAACTCAGTAGAAAATAACGAGAACCCAATTCAGGAAGGACTATTAATGGCCAGACCCAAAATGAAGGTTTGGGTCACCTCACCAGGTGAACAACCACAACCAGCTGAGGTTCTGGCTGAGGGCAAAGGCAAATGCAGAATGAGCAGTGGTGAAGGCAACGGTAACACCACCTACAGCCATATGACCATTTACAGAGTCAAGAGCTGTAACTGTCATGAGTATTCCTCCTTATTTTGTTATGAATATGTTTCGCGTGTGTGAGTGTGTGTGTATACCTGTAGCAAATATCTTGTTTCCTCCTCTCTCTTTATCGCCTTATTAATATAAGGTTTACCTCATTATATTTAAGTATTGTTAACTTTACATCACAGTCTTCTAGTTATGGAATATCAAGAGTAAACATTACTGAAGGACTTTGCATCCTCTTCTGGGTAAAGATCTAGTGTCTTTAGTTGTGTAAACAATAGCTGGCCATGTTAGGCAGAAATAGGACCTTGTTATTGTCTTTATTTGGAGATAAGTATGGTTTAAGGAGTGCCAAGATGAGAAAGGGTAGACTGTGACAATTAATTTTATGTTTCAACTTTTGGTCAAACATTATTCCAAATGTTACTGTGAGGTTATTTTTCAGATGAGATTTAACGTTTAATTCAGTCGACTCTGAGTGAGGGAGATTACCCTCCATAACGTGCAGGAGAAGGGAGAGGGAGGAGAGATCACCCTCCGAACAGTGGCAGGTCTTGAAGACTGACTTCCCCTGCAGAAGAGGGAGCTCTCCTAGCAGACTGCCCTTGCACTCAAGTTGCAACCATTCCGCTCCTCCTGGTCTTCAGCTTACTCTAAATCTCCACAATACCACATAAGCCCGTTCCTTAAAATCTCTCGCTCTCTCTCTCTACACACACACACACACACACACACACACCCCTCTGTTCTGTTTCACTGGAGAACTCTAATATAGTCATATTTTAAAATAATAATAAAATTGGACTCCTTTCAAACAAGACCAGTGGGTGCCACAGTGTTAAAACACTGAAATGCTGTACCACCGATGGCACACACTACTAGAGGGCAATGCTCTGCGCAGGAGAAGGCAGCAGACCTCAGCTCCAGCGCTGTGGTTAACATCCATTCTGACTGGTGTTTCAGCAGGGGTTCGGAAGTTTTAACATCACTATACATACATAAATGTCAATTCCAAGTAACCTGAACGTTAAAGTCAAAATTAGGGAACTTAAAGGGGAAAAAAAGGACAATATCTTCATAACTTCAGAGCAAGGAAGCACATCTTAAATATGACTAAAAACCGACAAGCCAGAAGGTTTGTACATACATACAACTGCATAACGAATAAAATAAACAATGCCAATGTATTAAAAGGGAGTGAATAAACATGCCACAACCTGGGAGAAAGTGTTTTTAGTTCACACACAAAAATAAAGGACTAGATGCAACAAAAAAAGACTAACATCTAAAATATGTAAAGCATTCCCATGAATGAGTAAGAAAAATACAAGTAAATCTATAAAACAAATTGAGCAAAAGGCTTGATTTAGACTTAAAAAACAGGAATCTCAGATGCACAATAAACAACTGAAAAGATGCTCAACTGCATTAGAAATTAGGAAACTGCAAATTAAAAAACAGTGAGAGAGAACTGCATCCCCATCAGATTAGTAAAAATTAACAAGTATCACACAACCAAGAGTTGGCAAGGATGCGGAAAACAGCTCTCATTTTACTGCCTGTGGAGTGTAAATTTGTAAATCCCTTTAAAAAGTAGTTTGTTTACTTAGTAAAGCAGAACATGTGGGTCCACTGTAACCCTGAAATTCCACTCTGAGGTGTACGCCTGAGGAACTCCTGCATTTGTGCCACAGGATTCGAGTTCACTGAGAGGCTGTTTGTAACAGTCAAAACCTGACAACAACCCAAATTTCAAACAAATAAAATAACTGATAAATTACCTGTGACACACGTGTGCTATGGATTAATACACAGCAGAAATGAACAAACTATAACTACAAACATCTACGGGGTAAATTTCACAGTGTTAAATGAAGAAGCCTGCCCGGCCTGACATCCCAGCCCCCGCCAGTAGCCCTGATCCTACTTAATCCTGTTCCACGTTCTCACCATAGCTCTCATCTTCTGGCCTTTTCTATGCTCTGTAAGAATAGGTCTTTGATTTTTGCTGGAGCTGCTCACTAACATTGCCAGAGCACCTAAAGCTGCCTGCTCAGTAAATATTGGCTGAATAAATCAGACTAATTCCAATTAAATAAAGTTCAGAGACAGGTAAACCTAAATACCATACTGATTAGGAATGCATACAGATAGTAAAATTATTTTTTTAAATGTAATGAATATTACACAAGAGATGGTGGAAGTAACCTCTGGGGTAGGGAAGGCAAAGGCAACACGCGGGACACCAGAAATGTCCACCTCCTAGCCTAGACTTTAAAAGACGTGTATAATACATACATATAAATGTATGTGTTTTATATGCATACACACGTACAAACACAATATACTTCACAATAAAAGATACTGAAAAAAAAAAAACCTACACTAACACTTCTCTCCCTAACCCTAGTCCACCCTCACCCCAGCTCTGATTACTCACCACCACTCAACCCAGCTTGACGAGAGTCACGTGACAACTCAAGTGGTTCATGCTACAGAGCGACGGCACACTCTGTCTAGGAATCTGGTAGAAATTCTGAGACTTATACTGATTCTATTATACTGTCTCCACTTGAAATAGGAGCCATCAGGTATCAAGCACTAATCAGCAGAAGAGAAGAAAAGTTTTCACACCAACCAGTAAGACATCAACAGAAAAACCTACTTCTAAGTGTCATCTGTCAGGTATACAGATATAGATACAGATGTCTTAATTCAGGATGTAGGAAATATTTCAAATATACCTGTATGCTGCCAAACTCAACGTTCTCATAATGGAAATGTGCACACTCAGCCATCTTCGGAAAGTGACCTTTAGTGAAGGGTAACCTGAAGTACATGAAATAAATGAGATACAAGGCACTAGAATAATCAAAATTACTAAGCCTGAGGAGAAAATAAAACAGGTTTAGGATGTCATGCAACAAGCAAAACACTATTTAATAAGCACATGCGCGTGAGCACATATACGCACATAAACCTTTTCAGAAATACACAGTCATATGGAAATTACATTCAGTGCACAGGCCAAAACCAAACAAATAAATAAAAAGCATCACTGTAGTACTCTCCTAATCTTGACCCAAGCCAATGGCCACAGAAGAAGTATGCGTTTGGTGAATGTTATGTAGCCGTGGACAGCCAGCTGCGAACCAGAGGCGGCACTCCCACCACAGACTCCAAAGCCAGACTGTACCTGTGAATGTTGTCGCAGCCCATCAGTCCTGGATTGGTGGGTCTGGATGCAGAATGAACATTTTTATCCTTGTCTTTCCTCAACTTAGAATGAAAACATAGCTATCTAACCCTTTACCAGGGGAAAAGACAGTTTTTTTGTTTAAAACTGAAACGGATACCTTCAGATATTTCACTTAAGAGTCAAATACTGGCTCCATTTCAGGCTTTCTCAAAGGCAAAGCTGAGAAACAACAATCTGATAACTCAACAAAACCAATTTTTCTAAATGAATGAGAGCACGTATTAAAGGCATCAAGAAAGACATACTTGGATTGTTCCTGTTGAACAAATGCAACCTGATAGACAATGGCATAGAAGTTGTTGCAAGAACAAAATTAAAGAATATTTTTAGACAAGTAGGTAATCTTCAGACCTACTCTGCTAATAGTTGAGTCATAATTTAAGGCTTAATAGTATAATTGAATGTACAGACAGTAAGAGCTTGTTGAGTAAGAAATTTAAATAAAAGTTTTAAGAGAAGTAAAGAACTGATTTCCATCTATAGGAATTCATTTGAGACCTGCTGTAAGATTATACTCACTTTTTCACATGTTTAACCTTCATACTAGCTGTACTGCCACATGTCTTAAGACTAAGGTCTCCAGGAATTTCTGGAACATCTGCTCCTCTTGCCTTAAAAAAAATAAAGACAAAAAGATTTATGACTATTCTTTTAGTATAATACATTTTAAAAAGCAGATTATAGTTCATTTCAAGGGTTCTGCTGACTCCATACCAACAGAAACACATGCTGATTTAATAATCTGTTCTTAAAATTATAACTTACTTGAGTATTCTCTTACAATCAAATTTTGAAGTCAACTATTATATTATGTGTCTCATCACAAACTAAAATAGCATAATGCCCTCCAAGTCAATCCATGTTGTTGCAAATTGCAAAAGTTCATTCTTTTTTTTACAGCTGAGTAGTATTCCATTGCGTGTGTATATATATATATATATATATATACATATATATATATATATATATACACCACATCTTCTTAATCCATTCATCTGTCGATGGACACTTAAGTTGCTTTCATATCCTGGCAATTGTGAATAATGCCGCTTTGAACATTGAGTCGCATGTACCTTTTTGAATTAATGTTTTGTTCTTTTCGCATATATACCCAGGAGTGGAATTGCTGGTATCCATATATATAAACAGCTCATAAATGCAACATCAAAAAAAAAAAGAAAAACCCCAAGTTAAAAAAAGGGCAGATGAACTGAATAGACATTTTTCCAAACAAGAAATGCATATGGCCAACAGGCATATAAAAAGATGCCCAACATCACTAATCATCAGGGAAATGCAAATCAAAACCACCATAAGTAGTATGAAAATGAATACATGTACATATATGTATAACTTAAACGTTATGCTATACACCAGAAATTGACACAACACTGTAAACTGAGTATGCTTCAACTAAAAAAAAAAACAAACACAGTAAGACATCACCTCACCCCTGTTAGAATGGCTATTATCAAAAAAGAATACATGGGGAGAGTATAGCTCAAGTGGTACAGCGCATGCTTAGCACACACAAGGTCCTGTGTTCAATCCCCACTACCTCCTCTAAACATAAATAAATAAGCCTAACTACCTGCCCTCCACCAAAAAAAAAAATACAAACAAATGTTGGTGAGTATGTGGAGAAACGGGAACCCTTGTACACTGTTGCTGGGAATGTAAATTGGTGCAGCCACTGTGGAAAACAGTATGGAGGTTTCTCAAAAAACTAACATTAGAACTACCACATGTCACAAGAAATTGTTACGGAACTTCAGCTCATTCTACATTAGTCTGGAATAGTTCATGATAACTGTAAAAACAATCAGGAATGAGGAAAGAGCAGGATTCAAAAGAACAAAAAAGAGAAGACTCTTCTAACTTATTTTATGATACCAGTTAACACAGACATCAGAACCACCCAAGAGACTTTTGACATCAGTCAGGACTAGACTAAGAAAAAGAAAAGCTGGATAAAATGTATAAACCATTCTAAACACTGAAGCTCAACCATACAGAAAAGACATGAGATACAATATGATCTTTAAGAGAAATAAATTATATAAGACGAACTCCATGTTCAGCCAAACTGTAGACCTGCAAGCCCTTCCCAACCGCAGCGAGGAGGACTACAGGCCAACCCGAGGGCAGCAGCACCCCTGGGAAGGAGGAGCAGGTGTCACGTTTCAAAGCTCCCTGTGACTGCACCTTAAAGGAAAACGCCCAGGAAGGAGAAAACTACTGTAAGTGAATGAAAATATTTATACACAGATGAACCTGAAATAATTTGCCGTTCCTAATCTCCACATACACAGGAGAAGCCTAACAAACCTGGCCATAACACTGTGGCCGAGAAGAGCTCACTCACTAGAAACAGACCTAGAAACAAAAGTACAAGCAACAAGCAGGGAAAAAATGTACAAACACTCTGTTAATATGCTCAATATGTTCAAGTGACATAATGAAGAAATAAACGAAAACAAAACAAAACAAAAGTCAGTGGGACTACTACTGGTGAAAAACACAGCTGTAACAAAAACTACCTAAGAGCATACTAGACACGGCAGAAGAAAAGATCAGTGAGCCTGAAGAAACAGCAAGAAAAAACTACCCAAAAACTTCTTGGTTTTTAGTTTTTGGTGCTTTGTAAAGAGAAAAAGACAGGAAAACCAAGGTCACAGTGACATGTGGGACAGTATCAAGCCATTTAGCATATGTGTAACCAAAGGCAAAAAAAGGAGAGGAAAATGCCCCCCCCACCAGACAGGCGGTTAAGAAGAGGAAAAGAAAAACGTTTTGGAAAAAAATAATAGGTAAAAAGTTTCCCTTTCATGAAAATTATCAGCATGTTCAGAAAACTCAATAAATCTGAAGTATGATCAACATTTTGAAAAATCACAAGGCACAGTATATCAGATAAACACCATGACCTGGCAGATTATCCCAGGAATGCAAGATCGTTTTAGCATCTGAAAACAAGTCAGCAGCTCATCATATTAACAAAAAAGGGGGAAAATAATCATGTAATCATCTCTAAGGCAGTAAATACATTTGACAAAATCCCAAACCCTATTCATGAAATAATAAAAATCAGTCAACTAAAAATAGAAAAGAACATCCTTAATGTAATAAAAACTATCCAGTAAGAAACTGAAACATTATACTGAATGATGAAATATTTAAAGTTCCTCCCCCAATATGAGGAACAAAACAAGGATGCATGCAATTACCACATCTATTCAACATCATTATAGAGTGCCTAGCCAGAGCAATATGGAAAGTAAAGAAAAGATTGTGCACATATAAAATCTAAAAGAATTTAAAAACTCTTACAGGTAAACCAAAGAATATGTCAAAGACTCTGGGTATGAAGTAAATACACAAAAAACTAATTACATTTCTACATATTAGCAGTAAACAATCAGGAAATAAAATTTTAAAACAATTATGCAATAATATTGAAGAAAACATCAAATACCCAGGAATACACCCTGTAAGATATATGAAAGACTCCAACACTAAAAACTACAAACATTTTTCAAAATTTAAGAAAATGTAAATTAACAGAATGTATACATATACACATCTGATCTGAACAGACTGGAAGGCACAATACTGTCAAGGTGTCAGTTACCCTCAAAATTATCTACAGATTTATCTGTATAAATTGGCAAGCTAATTCTAAAGATTTATATGGAAATGCTAAGCACACAGAAGTGCCAAGACTAAGAAGAGCAAAGCTGGAATACTTACTCTACCAGATAACAAGATTTGCTATAAAATTAAAAAAACAAGACAGTGTAGTATTTACCCAAGAACCGAAAAATGGATAAAAAGAACACATGAGAGAATTCAAACAGCAGCCAGAGTATGGTCATCTGACTCATGACAAAGTCACTAGTGAAATTAAGTCAGGAAAAAAGACAGTGATTTTAATAAACGTACCAGGCCACTCAGATTTCTACATGGATAAAAAAAATGTTGATCACCATATCTCACATCACACACAAAAATCAATTTTAAACAGCTCATAGTCCCAAACATAAAAGTAAACATATTCTAGAAAATACCTTCATAACACTGAGATGGGCAAAAATTTCTACAAAATACACAAGCAAAAAAGAATAATTAAAATAAAAACTTTTAATAAATCGGACTCAAGCTAAGAATTTCTGTTTATCAAATGATACCATTAAGCATGTGAAAAGGCAAATCAGAGTCTGGAAGAAGAAATTGGAAATACAAGTTATCTGATACAGGACTAGTATATATAATTTATCAAGAACTTCTAAAATTCCATTTTAAAAAAGACAGGCAACCCAACAGAAGAAAAATGCAGTATTTAAATGAACACATCACAGAAGACATCTCAAGGGCTAATAAGCACATGAAATGGTGCTAAACATAAATCATTATCATAGAATCACAAATAAAAACCACAACGAGATTCTACTACATACATAACAGAACGGCGATACAAAGAGTACATATTGTAGAATCTTATGCACAGAAACAATGGTTAACTTTGGTAGCAAAAGTACTGACTAGGAAGGACTTTCTGAATTTTAGGAAAATTTTATTTTTCTTAAATCTCAGTGGCAGTCACATGGGAAAAACATAAGCAAAAATTCATCAAACTCTATATGAAGGTTTGTGACTTGTCTTTACATGAGTTATACCTCAGAAAAAAACTAAATGGAAAAAAAACAAACAATAACAAGAGAATGAAAAATTATAGGCCAATCTCATTTATGAAACACAAATTTTTAAAAATACCATACATAAAATAGTGAACCAAATCCATCATTGTATTAACTTCAAAAAAAAAAAAACCATAATCAAACTGAAGTTACCCCAGGAATGCAAGGTTTTCAGCTTAAGACCCCGTACACATATAAAGAAAAGAAGTTAAGCAGAAATCCTTTTCTTTTCCTTTGGGGGCAGGAGGCAGTATTTAAACAGGCTGCTAGAACAACAGAGCAGACAGATACAGAAGGCATGATGAAACCTGATTACAGCAGGACACGGCTGAGTCTTCTGTCATACACGCTGGATAAAAGTTCTAAATGGCAATTCAATATTAAGACAGTTATACAAATCTGGAGTTGATGAAATACTCAAGAATGTTAAGTGTCAAATTATACTGCAAATTACTGTGCAATAGGAAGGAGGTAGCAGATCACAGGGCTTTTTCGTTCCTAAATTTCTCAAATTTTTTATGAAAGACAAAAACATGTATGACATATTTATCAAATTTACAGACAGGAGAAAACTTAAAGGGATATGAATACCCTGAGTGACAGAATTCACAGATTTTATTTTAATACATTGCAAAAACAAACTGAAATGATTACGAAGTTCATCAAAGATTAAAAAAAGCCCTGAATTTATATTCAAAACTCAATTATATAAGTATGAGGGAACACACTTTATCTGACAAGAATTCATGTAACGAAATCTAAGGCCTAGAGTTTACCACAAGCTAAATAAATACAAGCCAAAGAATATCCTCACTGGTAAAAGCTAACGCAGCCTGAAAAACATGTGGCATCTATAACAAGGAAAGTATTTGTTTCTCCATAATCTGAACCAGTTAAACCACATAGGGTAGAGA